GATGAATTTCTCCTGTTATGAGTAGGAAGTGACCTCCTTCATCCCTTTTGATTGATGAAGTACAATTTGTTCGATATTAGGATTGCTACCCCTGCTTGTTTCTTGGGTCCTTTTGATTGGAAAATCTTTTCCCAACCCTTAATTCTTAGGTACTATCTGTCTTTGAAGTTGAGGTGTATTTCTTGTATGCAAGAGAAGGATGGATTCTGTCTTCTTATCCATTCTGTTAACCTGTTTATTTTTATAGGCAAGTTAAGACCATTAATATTGAGGGATATTAATGACCATTGATTGTTCATTCTTGTTTGTTTTAGATTTGGTGGTGTTGGTGGTGAAATTGTGTGTGGGTTTCCACCCCTTTTTGCTTTTGGCTCTTGGTAATGTGGGATTATCTATTGCCTATATTGTTCTGGTTGTAGTTAACTTCCTTGGGTTGCAGTTTTCCTTCCAGAACTTTCTGTAGGTCTGGATTGGTGGATATGTATTGTTTGAATCTGGTTTTGTCATGGAATATCTTGTTTTCTCCATCTATATTGATTGAAAGATTTGCTGGGTATAGTAGTCTGGCTGGTATCTGTGGTCTCTTAGTGTAGATAGAATATCTATCCAGGACCTCTGGCTTTCAGAGTTTCCATGGAAAAGTCAGGTATAATTTTGACAGGTTTGCCTTTACATGTTACTTGACCTTTTCCCTTTGCTGCTCTTAATATTTTCTCTTTATTCTGTATGTTTGTTGTTTTGATTATTATGTGGGGAAACTTTTTTTGTGGCCCCCTTTATTTGGTGTTCTTTAGGCCTTTTGTACTTTCATTGGTATGTCTTTCTTTAGGTTGGGAAAGTTTTCTTCTATGATTTTGTTGAATATGTTTTCTGCATTTTTGAGTTGGATTTCTTCACTTCCTTCTATACCTATTTTACTTTTTTTTTTTTTAAAAGATTTATTATTATGTTGGTGGGTCATGCCTTTAATCCCAGCACTCGGTAGGCAGAGGCAGGTGGATCTCTGTGAGTTTGAGGCCAGCCTGGTCTCCAGATCGAGTGCCAGGAGAGGCTCCAAAACTACACAGAGAAACTCTGTCTCAGAAAAAAAAAAGATTTATTATTATGTATACAGTATTATGCCTATGTGTATGCCTACAGGCCATAAGAGGGCACCAGATCTCATTACAGATGGTTGTGAGCCACCATGTCGTTGCTGGGAATTGAACTCAGGACCTCTGGAAGAGCAGCCAGTGCTTTTAACCCCTGAGCCATATCTCCAGCCCTTATACCTATTATTCTTAGGTTTAGTTTTTTCACAGTATCCCATATTTCCTAGATATTTTGTGTTAGGGATTTGTTGAACTTAATATTTTCTTTGGTTGGTGAGTCTATTTCTCCTAGTGTATTTTCAACTCCTGAGATTCTTCCATCTCTTATTCTGTTGGTTATGCTTGCATCTGTGGTTCCTGATCGTTTACCCAGCCTTTCTATTTCCAGCATTCCCTCAGATTGTATTTTCTTTATTGTCTCTATTTCAGTTTTTAGGTCTTGAACTGTTTCCTTGAAAGATTTGTTGATGCCTTGTATTTTTTGGTTTGTGTTTTCTTCCATTTCTTTAAGAGACTTTCTCATATCCTCTTTGAGGCCCTCTACTATTTTCATGAAGATGATGTTTTTAAGGTCATTCTCTTCTGCATCATCTGTAGTGTAATGTTCAGGTCTTGCTGGTGTAGGGTCCCTAGTCTCCAGTGGTGTCTTATTGGGTTTTCTGTTGTTGGATGTGCTTTTTTTTTTTTTTTTATCTGCATTTATTTTATGCTGAATTTATTCCCGTGCCATAAGTTTTTGTTTCTTCAGTTTCTTCTGGGATATCTTTTTCTTCTGTGCAACCTCCTCTTCTGGCTTTGGAACAATTTGTTCCTTTTCTGTGAGGATCATTTCGATGTGGCAGGGGAGCTCATGTATGGGTTAATCTGGCCGTAAGCTCTGTAAATTCGGCGACGCATCTGAGGTGCTTTGTTCATCTGAATGTGTTCGATGACCAGAGAATCTGCGTCTAGACCCTTAAGCTCAGCATTATTCTCTGCATTTTTAAGAATGTGCAGCAAAAATTCAGCACTCTTTTTTGGCCACCGACCCTGTGTCCAGCCCCACTGTTTGGCCTTGGCAAACCTGCCGACTCCACCATTGTATCGACGGAATGGCACACATTGCTTCTTCAATGTGACATCTTTCAGGTATTTGGTGGCTTTTTGGATATGCATACCCTTGATGGCCTGGGCAGTTTCACGGGTATTCTTAAAGTGAACCCGGAGATTTGAACCTCTTGACTTGCATGATTTTGTAGGGTTTTCTGGGTCGAGAGAGAGAGTAGCGAACCATCTTCACAGGTTACCTCAGGTCGCTTACAGGAGGAACTGGTTGTGCTTTTATATTGTCTTCTTCCCATCCTTCGGGAGGGTGTAGCAGGAGTCTCTTCCTCTCCTGGTGGGTATGGGACCAAGGTTCCCTTCTGGTAGATGCAAACAGATCCAATACTCTGATGTCTGTCCTCTTCTCCTGGATGGAGGCAAGACTGGTACAGTTTCCTGTGTTTCTTTAAGGGAAATTTTAATTTCCTCTTTTAGAGCCTCTTTCATCTTCATAAAGATCATTTTCTACTGTTTCATCTGTGTTGTTGGGATGTTCAGATTTTACTGTTGTAGAATCACTAGCTTCTGGTGGTGCCATATTGCTCTTTATGTTGTTGAGTGTGTTCTTGCACTGCTGTGTACCCATCTGGGTTTGGCGTAATTATAGGTACATGTGTTAATTCTTTTTCCAATCAGTACACCATCAGTACACGTGGTGACTGTGTCTTAGGGGACCAGTCTTTCTCCAATCAGTGCAGGTGGTGTACATGCTTCTGGGTGCTCCTGCTGACCAGGTGCTGGGGAGTGATGGGTGGGGTGGCACTGGATGGGCCTTGGGATCTAGGACCTAGAGACAGGGGCTCCCCAACCAGGAGACACTGAAAAGTAGTGATGAGATTAAAATGTTCCTTCAACTTAATTATGGATATTAAACAGATAAGTCTTACAATGATAATGAAGTGTTTTATGTGGGACTATTCCTCTCTTTTTCCTAGAGCTCCTTTCAATCAGTGGGGACCTTCATGTGTCACCTCAGAGAGACTTTTTTGTTTGCGTGTTTTTCTTTCCTTGAGATAGGACCTAATGGGGCACAAATTGACCTTGAAGTCCCAGTTCTCATTCTTCCACTTCCCAGTTGGTGAGATCAGAGGTATCAGTCAGGTCTCCATACCTTTTGAAAAAGACCTTTCACTAAAGGTTTCATTTTAGGGAGACCTCTGTTCTGCAGGCTTTAACCTAAACCTCAATATTTTGTTTTCAGAGCCATACATAATTATATAGGGATCTGATGGTTGTAACTTGACAAGCAATAACTGTTCATTTGATCCAATGGATTTTTGCTGGTGTACAGTAAAATCCTGTTTCCTTTAGATACAGACATTCCTGGTGCATTCTAAGGGTCTGTCTCCTCCAAGATCAATATGTCTTCTGCTGCTAATAACAGTAAGAAACTGAAGCCATGTTGTGCATAAACACTCTCTAGAGGCTGGGAAGGTGGCTCAGTGGAAAATGTACAAAGGACATTTGCAGAAGACAAGAGTTTGGTTCCCATACCTAGGTTGCCATTTCTGTTGACTATGAATGAAATCAATACCTATTCCAGATTTGTGGGTTTTTATAACTCTAGTAACTTGCATCCCATATGGTTTTCTCTTCTTTCTCCTAGGATATTCTTGTGTGATTGTTTTTGTGTTCTTGTTTCTTGAGGCAGTATGCTATATAGCCCAGGCTGCCCTCAATTTTCCTACATCCCCAAGATTACATTGAACTTCTGGTCCTACTACATCCACCTCTTATATGCTATGATTACAGGCATCCTAATCCTTATACCCTACATGGAACAGAAATTAAACTGAGGGATTCATGCACGCTAGGCAAGAATGCTACCTAACTGAGGTACATCTTCAGTCCCTTTATATTTTTTGTTTTATTAGGATAATAATTTTGTTATATATGAATGTTTTCCTACTTACATGCCTGTGTAGTGTGTTTGCCTGGTGCCCATGGGAACCAAAAGGAGTCAAATCCCCTAGTACTGGAGTTACAGGTGGTCGTGAGTGAACTATCACTTGTCTGCCTGGTATTTACTGAAGTCAAAAGAGAGCATTGGATTTTCTTGACCTAATGATAGATGTAATTGGTAGTAACCTCTAGTGAGTGCTGTGAACTGATCTGGGAACTCTTCAAAAGCAATAGGTGATCTTATCTGTTGATACTTCTTTATATATTCTGTCATTTTTATGAGTCTTTATGGTCAGCCTTTACTAATTTTTGAGAATACTTTAATAGTCAGTCAGTAATTTACTAAAATGCTTTCCTCCCTAGGAATTATTAGCCTTACATCAGTTTATGATTGAGAACTACAGAATTGGAGTGAATGTTTTAACTTTATTGAGGAATTTTGAGTGAAACTCTGCGTGATTTCTATGTGTTTGTTTTTTGTTTGAGACAGTGTGTCATTATGTACCATTGGCTGTCTTGGAACTCTCTACACAGACCAAGCTGACTTGGAAATCACAGAGTATCACCTGCCTTTGCCTCCTGAGATTTGGGATTAAAGTTGGGCCTCACCATACCCATGTTGTCTCCCTTTTTATGTTAATAATTTTGATAAAATTTGCTGGTGTTGTTGTGTTACTCTGTATGAATGCCTCTAGGCATTTCTCCTGCAATGGCCTATTCTGTTTTGTGGGTACACATTTGGAGAGAATGATTATTCTTTTGTGTTTCTGTTTAAAATGTGTTGGTGACTGCCTTTGGTATTTTATTACCCACGTGATAGGATATAACTAAAAAATAAATTATGTAAATATATTGTCACTGAAGTGCACATTTGCAAAGCATTCCATGTCACCATTTCTATTATGTACAATGTGGGATATTTAGGATGCAGTGACCTGTGAGGATGTGCATGTGAACTTCACTCATGAAGAGTGGGCTTTGCTGGATTCCTGCCAGAAGAGTCTCTACAAAGATGTGATGCTGGAAACATATTGGAACCTCACTTCTATAGGTAGGAATGTGAGCTTTCTGTCAGTTTTTAACTTAAGGGCCAAGCCTTTCTTGGAGATAGTTGCTCTTCTGTGATTTTGAATGGGAAAGAGAAAGAATCTAGTGAGTAAATCAGGCATTGTTTAAAGATTCACAAAAGATGCTAATTTCAGTTGTGCCTAATTTCCAGTTATATATCTCATACATTTTCTGGTACTGTATTTTAGGGTACAAATGGGAAGACCACAGTATTGAAGAATATTGTCAAAGTTCTGGAAGACATGGAAGGTAATTTGCATGTGCAAGCTGATATATATGGGCCTTGGAAGAAATGTAAATTAGCACAGCTTTCTGATGATTATTACACTATCACAGCACCATGTAGTCCAAGGTCAGGTAGCTGATCAATGATTGGAAAACACTCCTATAAGGATAAGACAAGGAAACAATGTCATAAGAGATGTCACATTTTTAACCATAGCCACGTAAGTTGCATACTGTAGAATTGTCTATTCACTTATTGTCTTGCCATTCAATCATCATATAAGATATATACATTGATAAGGGGATTATACTATTCCAAGATCTTTAATAAGCAATCTTCCATATTAAATATAGTACTCCTCATATGTTTGTAGTGAGTGATTTACTATAGTTTAGTGAGAGGACCATTTTATGAGAGACAAGGAATTTATAGAAACCTGAATCCATATACCACATCTGAGGCAAAAAAAAAAAAATAGACTATGTGAATGTAATGTGAAAACCTTTTATATGGTATTCTTCCTTTAATAGTCCTGTCAACTGTCACTATGGATACAAGCCATGTTTGCATCAGAGATATGTAAAGAAGCATTCTATCTCTGTTTCTCCTGGAACAATTAGAAGATATGATGTAATCACTACTGTGAGAAAACATGATGACTGTGAAACAAGTTTACCCTCTCTCTTTGGAGAAAAAGCTAATGAGAACAAGGATGATGGAAATTCACAGGTCTGTGTTGGTTCAGTTTGCACAGATAGTATGACTCACAGTATAAGAAAATGTTATTTAAGTAATCACTGTGCTGAAATTCTGAGTTCTTCCAGTTCTTATCAAAGACATAAAAAATCTCATGTGGGAAGAGGAAGTGAAAAATGTGAGCTTTGTACTAAAGATTTTTGCCATCACAGGTATCTTCAAACACACAAAACTACCATTAATGAAGAGAATCTCTATGAATGTAAAGCCATTAGATTTGAATCCTCTTTACACCAAAGAACTCATTTGGAAGAAAAACCCTGTGAATATAATCAAAGTGATAAAGTCTCTGCATATCACAGTCTTCATCAAGTATATAGAACTCATTCTGTAGTGAAAAACAATGAATATCAGCAATATGATAAAACCTTTGCAAGTCCCAGTTTTCTTCAAATGTATAAAAGAATTCTTGGTGGAGAGAAACCCTATGAATGTAATCAATGTGGTAAATCCTTTGCTGAGAAGAGTAATCTTCACAGGCATGAAAAGACTCATACTGGAGAGAAACCCCATGAATGTAATCATTGTGGTAAAGCTTTTGCACACAAATATAAGCTTCTCATTCATGAAAGAATTCATAATGGAGAGAAACCCTATGAATGTAATCGATGTGGTAAGGCCTTTGTAGAGAAATGCAATCTTCTCAGTCATGAAAGAAGTCATACTGGAGAGAAACCCTATGAGTGTAATCAGTGTGGTAAAGCTTTTGCACAGAAGAGTTCTCTTCATAATCATGAACGAATTCATACTGGAGAGAAACCCTATAAATGTAATCAATGTAGTAAAGCCTTTACACAGAATGGTAGTCTTCGAAGTCATGAAAGAATTCATACTGGAGAGAAACCCTATGAATGTAATCGATGTGGTAAGGCCTTTGTAGAGAAATGCAATCTTCTCAGTCATGAAAGAAGACATACTGGAGAGAATCCCTTTCTATGTAATGAACATGCTAAATCCTTTGCAGAGAAGAATAATCTCAGTCCTGAAAGAAGTCATGCAGCAGAGAAACCATATGAATGCAATCTATGTGGTAAAGCCTTTGCAAGGAAGAGTTATCTTTGCAGTCATGAAAGAATTCATACTGGGGAGAAACCCTATGTATGTAACCAATGTGGTAAAGCCTTTGCACACAATAGTCATCTTCACAGTCATGAAAGAATTCATACTGGAGAGAAACCCTATGAATGTAACCAATGTGATAAAGCATTTTCACGTAAAAGTCATCTTCACAGGCATGAAAGAATTCATACTAGAGAGAAACCTTGTGGGTATAATCAATGTGGTAGAGATTTTGTATTTAACAGTAACCTTCAATTGAAAGAAACCTCATACTGGAGACAAGTCCTATGAATATAGTTAATGTGGTAAAGAATTTATACAGAACAGTCGTCTTCACGGGCAAGAAAGAAATCAGTTTGACAAAAACCTTATGAATGTAATCAGTACAGTAGAGCCTTTACACATTGAAGTGTCCTTCAAAATCATGAAAACATTCAAACTGATGAAAATCCCCATGAAACTAATAAATGAGGCCAGGCCTTACAATCCACATACATTTTCTCTACAGAGATATCTCACTACTGCTCTAGTAAAATAAGTAGAGCCACTCTATAGGTAAAATGTTGTCTGTTTTCAAGTTGTAAACATTTTCCAAGAATACAGAAACACATGATAATTTGAATAATAAACTGTATTTACAATAGAAAATGGTATTTATCCTGTCATCCCATTATTTTTGAATCCTGGTATTTGATTTTGAGCTTAAATACTTCCAATCATATTCTCAGAAACACAAATGGCAGAGAATTTTGTCAGTGAGGAAATGTGATTGCCAGAGCTTGCAGTGAATGTACCTCTGCCATGTTGGAAAGCCAAACTGGATGGAGCCAACTGCCAAAGCTACCATTTTGATCCTAGCCAATCCCACTTACCAATTTAAACATTGATCAAACAGTGATTACAGATATGCATTATAAAGACAGATTCAGACCAAAAGAAACCTCTGTGTCACAGCATGATTAAAAACTCTCTATAGGCTTGAAAAATTGTGTATAGACAGTTATTAAAAGAAATAGTTAAAGTCTTAGAAAGTAAAAAGAAAAAAGCCACATAAAGATGAGAAATACAAAGTGAGTCTTGATTGTATATGTTATTGTGTTGATTTTGAATTTTTTGATGGCTCATGGGCAAGAGACTGCTGCTGGGAAACATGGGATTAGAAGAGATACTGATAAAATATACCAACCTAAATGCTTTATCTTTAAAACACAAGTTAAAAATTAATATTTGTAAAATGTAAATTAAAAGATGCATTGCTTTGGAGAAGCAGTTTTGCCTTACTGTTGTGGCTCAGCATGTCTCAGCCTTAATCCATGAGGTTCAGCCTGAGGGGGGGTGTGTGGACCTGGAAGCTCCTAGCAACCCAGTGGCAATAAAGACCAAACATAGGCATCTTGTCATCTTTAGAGAGCTCTCAGTTCCATGTTGTAGTACTGTTTTCAGTTCTTTATAGGCCATCTTCTCTGGTGTTTCTTAACCATCCTGTCATGACCACGAGGGAACCATTTCTCTCCGTGTTCTCCTCTCTGCTCTGGTTGCTAGCCCCTAACCTCTGACCTCCCTAGTCACTCACACAGCTGGCATCTATGCCTATTCAGATGCTTAGGCCCACAGAGATGCAAATAGGAGGCATATTACCCTGAGGCCATGGTAAACAATAGTGACCTTACTAGCATTAACACTACAATAGTGGGCCAGAGCTTTCCTGTGTTCCATGTTTGCAGGAGCTGGAGGCTGGGCCCCAAAATATTCCATAACAGAATTATTTGGTCTCCCACACCTTACTTTCCACAGAAACCAAAAGGCTATGGATTTGTTTCAGGTTAAGATGGACCAGTTTTGATCAAGGGAGACCTTCTGAACCTTGACAGATGATATCTCTCAACACAGGTTACCACTGGTCCTCCCAGTACTTGTCCATTATCTCAAAATTTTATCAGGGACCCTAAAGATATTTCATCCACAGACTGCAGGAAGCAATTTGGAGAAAATGACATCCACATTCCCTAGGGTTGGGGTTTATGGATGGTCTTTGGTTATTTGGTGGATAATGGATGTTTGTTATATTTAGGGGAATATAGGATGTAAAGATCATTATTAATCTCAGATATTTTGCATTGGCATGAATTTTTGTATATTAATACAAATTTAAGAGTATTGTCCTCATACTACATATTTTCTATTTTTGCTTAAGATATTACCTATACAGCTCATACTTATTATGCAATATGAAGCTTTAATCCTTAAAAGATAGTCAGGATAATGAAGAATTGCAAGCTAATAGTCACCCATGTCTATCAAACTTCTAGTCATGTTATTTAGGTTTTCAAGGTAATACAAAGATTTATTTCACATAGGTAATCTTCAAACACTTCAAAGACCTACAGAATATGGCATTTAAAATGTTTTAAGAACTTAGACTTTTCTCAGCAGTGAGACATGTCTGCTCCTGGCAGTAACAATAACTTAAGGATAATGATGTGTATCAAAGAAGCTAAGAAGCTCCTTATGGAGTTTGCTTTCAATGTGTCAGGGCTAGCCATTTGAACAAGAAACTGCTTTTGTCTGGACTACTTTCTGTATGCTGTATAAATTGAATATATAGGATACATTAAAAAAAATGACTGCTGAACTTGGCAAAACAAGATGGGACAGTAGTTCAGGGTTCCAACTTCATGGAAGAGTCTGTCAGACATTCTTTGGACAGAGAATAATGACTGACAAACTGCCAATATAGGTAGGACTGCTTCACTGAGAAATCTGCCAGATACTTTAGGCTTGCAGGCTGAATATGGATGCCCCAATGTTACAGAACAACTTTGGGTGACCATCCAGGCAGCCAGATAGCTGTCAATTTTAGAGTTTTAGAAGTTGTCTACTATTCACTTCTGGGGTCTTTGATGGAGTTGAAGACTTATAACTATATATATATAAAACTTATAACTATTATAGTTATAATTATAGTTTTACTTAGTTATGACGAAAGATAAATTAGATATAAAACTTTAGACTTGCAAAGATAGAGTATTTTGTTTAATTTTTCAAATACAAATAGTAACTGTACCCTTCCTTTTGATTAAACAGAAAGGGGGAAATGATGTGGTATGTCCCTCTGTATGCTGTGAATATGTTTTATTGCCATTGGTTAATAAAGAAGCTGATTTGGCCAAGCAGAATAGAGCCAGATTGGAAATGCAAGCAGAGATACAGGGAGAAGGGTAGAGTCAGGGAGATGCCAGCCAGCCACCAAGAAAGGAAGGCATGTAAAAAATGAGGTAACTTCACGGCCACATGACAATACACAGATTAATAAAAATGAGTTAATTTAGTTGTATGGATTAATTAATAATCAGCCTGAGCTAATAAGCTAAACAGTTTATAATTAATATTAATCCTCTGTGTGGCTATTTTAAAAGTGGCTCCAGGACTGGATTGGATGAAAAGCCTCTAATTACAGGATCGACAAATGCAGGTGTGGGTGGAACCCAGTAAGGGTTAGAGTACAGGGTCTGGGCATCCTGCTAAACCGCATAACCCAACTACAGAGGTAGCTGGTCAACCTGGGGTCCATGCATAAGAGGATAGGAGAGTTCTTCCATGTCAATGACTCCTACCATTAGTCTCTCAAGGTATATTTCCCCATGACCCTGTCTGTCCATACACAAAGGCTCTGTGTTCAGCAAGAAAGGTGATTGAATTCCCTGGAACTTAGACATTCAAGATGTGAGCTGCCATGTGGGGCTGGCAACTGAACTGTTTTTTTTTTTTACAGAATGTATTTGTTAGAGTCCAGCTCCAGTGAGGTTCAGGTCCTAAAGAGGAGTTGTAAAGTCGATGAAGGGAGGAGCTGACAGGATCTGAGGGTGAATTAAAATAGCTACTGGTTTATTTTTAAAGAGCTATATCTTGTACACTCTATAATTGCACAATAGTTTAACCACAAACAAACACATACAGACCTAATGATTCTTGGATGAACATGGCCATCAACCTTTTCATAGCATTTCTACTGAGCCAAAAAGCAGTAAGTTCATCAAGTATCTGTGAGTATTGATGTGAACCCATTGTTTTGATCCATAGTGTGCTTTCATCCTTGTGACCAGATGTGTCCAGTTCTCAATTTTTGGTGTAATGGGAGACACACTGTGAATTCTTGTGTGAGAGTGGGTACACTTATCACACGATATCGTTATATGGTGATGGAGATTTTTTTCCAAACAATCACTTTGTTTAAAGATACTGTCATTTTATACATCCTTATTCTCCACTGAAGCCCACACAAAATTTCCTGAAGGAAACGCATACGGAAACTCCCAAATCACATAGTGAGAATTATTATCAATGAAAATAAAAAGATGCTGGAGAATTGTGATCTACAATGTTAAAATAACTGGAACTTTGCAAAGCAGCAATGTTTGCTGTGTGCTCCACAGGTACTAAACTGTGAAACCATCTCAGAATTGTTCTTTTAAGATTTAATTCATTCTTCTTGTCTTTGTGCATGCACATGTAGAGTATAATTTGGAATCAGATGACAGCCTATGTGATGCAGTACGCCCACTCCTACCATGTGGGTCATAAGCAAATCACATCCATCCGTCTTGGCTACAAGCCTTGGTCCTTTTTTTTAATCATTGGTTTTGATGTTTTATTTTTAAAACAGGCTCATAAAGTTCTGTTGACCTTGAAATCATGTTGTTTCTGCTTTCAAATCCTAATGCTGGAATGACAGATTTCAAAATCATGCTCTCTCTATGCAGAGGCCCGGTGAATGCTGAGCCATTGCTCTACTGAATGAGTACAATCTGAGCTGAAAACATTGATGTAGCTGACATTATGATACACTGGTCCACACTGAGACCTCATCTCAAACAAAAACTGCAAAGAAATAAAAATTTTTGTTAAAAAATATTGTGTATATCTGTTTTGATAACAGTCTCTCTCACTTGCCTACGCTGATCTAGAACCTACATTTTGTAGCCCTTGAAGTGTTCTTGGTCTCATCCACCTAAGTACCAGGCCTGGACTACCAAGGGGGGAAGCCATACACAGAGAGGCTTAACTATGTGTCTGGGAACACATTGCTAGTAGCCAGAAATCCATGGCAAGGTCAGAATTTCCCTAGGTTCAAGTCACTATTCAGAACTTTCCATGCGGTGGAATGTGATCAGTTAAGCATAGAAGGATGGGAAGAGACTCATGATCCTTCTCTTTGAGGTCTAAACGTTCTGAGAGTCTTATGTGGGCTAGGGCTAGAAATGCAATTTGAGGCATTGTTGATGAAGAGAGGGCACACAGCCAAGGTCAACCTGGCCATGGCTAAGGTGCAGCTTCACTGCCTCAAACGGAGCAAAGAAGCATGCCAGGACCACAGCTGGGCCCAGGAGTCCCTGGGGAAGGACAAGGAAAATGTCAAAAAGGAGCTGTCCCTCCTGTTCACAGTTGGGACCCACTACACTGAGACTACACAAAACTGAAGAACCTCCCAGATGCCAAGGTACTGCAAAAGCCTCCTACTTCTTACATAGGAAACAGGCAAAGAGAAAGAAGAGAGTCTCTGAGCAAGTCTGGTTGTTGATGCTCCAATTGGTTATTGTAACCAATGCAACAAGTGTAGTATATTTACATCATTCTTAATAACAGCTGTACAGACAGGGATAGCTTGTCAGATCCTGCCTGGGAAACTTGCCTCAACAACATGTCCCTCCTTCAGTCACCTATGGACATTGAAGTTGGGGTGCTGATTCAAGTGGAGCAGTGTGATATGGGTGGGTGTTTGCTATAGGTGCAACTGATGCAGGTTCAGCTGTTCAGTTTCCATCATTCACCTCGGCAAGCTCAGGGGCCACCTTCCCTAGCCTTCAGGATGATGAAAGGGACTCATTATACACTGGGAGACCAGCCTAGGACCTTACCAAGGTATGCAGCTGACCTCATCACACCATGGCTACCCACACTCTTCCCCTCTGATTCCCATAACTCTGTAATACCTGACATGTTACAATTTCCAATATGCCACCTACATCACAACCATCTACCCAGGGGTATAAGCTCACTCTGAATGGGTAACAACCAGTGTGGAACACAGGGTGATAGCAGGGATTGTACAAGTAGGGCCAGAAGATAGTTTGAGCTTCTGAACCTAAAACTCAGTTATGCTAGTAAACAGGCAACCAGGAAATGTTGTGGCTCAGTGGTAAATGCCCTGCATAGAAAACCCCAATGAAGATCTTGGAGCATTTCTTATTGTAAAGCTTATGCCTAGAACC